TTGGAGAAAGACCCAGGGGGCCAATCTTGGGGGCCAGGGCAGACACGGCACCACCTTCGCCACCAGTGCACCTCAGGTACGCAACTTTGATCTCGTTGGCGTTGAACTTAGGTGGCACGGTGGAGGCAGCTTGTGTTGGATGAACCCAGACTTGGGATGACCAAAGAAAGTTGCACCTTGGCCTCTTCTGAGCCAAAAACTCAAAGTTCTTCATTTTTATTTGAAAATATCTTAGTTTATTCTCCATTTTTCAAAGATAGTTTTGCTGGGTATAGATTTCTTTGTTGACAGTTTTTTTCCCTTTCATCATTCTGAATATGTCATCCCACTGCCTTCTGGCTTTCATCCTTTCTCATGAGAAATCACCTGTTAATCTTATTGAAGATCCCTTTTCTGTGATAGGGTATTTTTCTCTCTCTGCTTTCCAGATTGCTTTTGGCAATGTGACTATGACGTGCTTAGGTGTGTATCTCTTTAGGTTGTCATACTTGGCTGGGTGCTGTGGCTAACACTTGTAATCCCAGCACTTTGGGAGGCTGAGATGGGAGGATTACTTGAGGCCAGGAATTTGAGACCAGTCTGGGCAAAAAAGCAAGACCTTGTCTCTACAAAAAAAAAAAAAAAAAAAAAAAATTTATCCCACTTGGAGTTTGTTACATTCCTTTGCTTATTTCTCTCTCTTCTCTCCTTTCAGGACCATAGTTACATGTATTTTGGGACATTTTACAGTGACTCACAGGTCTCTGAGGCTCCGTTCATTTTTCTTCATGCTTTTTTCTTTCTGTTCCTTAGGCTGGGTAATTATCAATTGACCTATCTGCAAGTTTGCTGAGTATTTCTTCTGCCAGCCCAAAGCTACTGTTGAGCCACTCTAGTGAAATTGTCATTTCAGTTATGTACTTTAAAGTTCCAAAATTTGTATTTGGTTCTTTGTTTTACTTTCTATCTTGTTATTGATATTTTCTGTTTAGTGGGACATAATTCTCATGCTTTCCTTTATTTCTTTAGACATGGTTTCCTTTAGTTCCTTTAACATATTTATAATAGCCAATACAACATCTTTGTCTAGTAAGTACAACTAGGCTGCCTCAGAGACAATTTCTATTGATGGCTTTTTTTTTGTTTTTTACTGCCACACTTTCTTCTATCTGTGGATGCCTTGTAATTTTTTGTTAAAAGCTGGACATTTAACATAATTCAACGCGGCTACTCTGGAAATGAGATTCCTTTTCTCCTTTACAGGATTTGTTGCCGTTGCTGTTTATTGTTGTTGTGCTTTGTGTGTTTAGAGGCTTTCCTGGACGAATTCTTTAAAGTGTGTACTTTCTGTCACGTGCAGCTACTGAATTCTGAATACTGCTTGTTTAGTTTCGTGGTCGGCTTATACAGAGATTTCCTTTAGTGCCTTGATCCAATAGCCTCCCACTTTCTGCTGGTGGCTTTTGTGTGTGTTGGAGCACAGCTTCAGTGCTCCACCAGGTTACAGCTCTGCCTTCACCTGCATTTCCTGCTCGGACAGAGTCTCAAGGTCAGCCAGAGGTGAGAGACTAGGGCTCTCTCAGTCTTTTCCTGGACATGTACACAGCCCTGCCCATGCATGTGCCTTTTGGATTCCCAAGAGTATGTTGTAGCTTTCGAAGCTCCTTTGAACATCTCATGCCCTAGGTTTTCACTGAAACTTTTTGAGTCATCCGCTGGCATCATCACTCCAGGCAGCTGAGATGTTAAACAAGCGCCACCGATTATTTCTGTTAAGCACCTTGGGGATAGGGCTCTTCCTACTGGGCAAGCTCTTTATCAGGCCCGATAAGGACAAGCTTTGTGCACAGTGATTTTCCACGGAGCTGCCAGACAGGTCGAATATTGACAATTTTCTGGGGATGAGCATTTGAGGAGCTTCAAATCTGTTCTGCCTCCTCCAGTGGCTGCTGGTTTCCACAAGTACTATGGCTGTGACACTGCTGGTTTTTAAGGCCACCAAGGAGCTGGGGAGAGGAGCAAATTAAAACACTACAAACTTCACTATTTTTAGCACGACTCAGGCATTTTCCCCAAATAAACATTTCTTTGGTTGTTATAAACCTTTTGTTAATTCCCAGAGTTCTGAAAAGGTCAATTTTCCCCACTGTCCTTGCTGCTTTTATGGAAGAGCAGGTTTTCAGAGGTCCTTATTCTACCTTTCCAGAAGTGCTTCTTCCACTGGATTTTTAAAAAAGTTTCTTGGGGCCAAGGAAGATAAAAAACCCTAGCACTGAAACTGTTGATCTAAGGCTGGCAGCTTCGGAGATGCGGTGAGTACCTCCATCTGTCTCTGCAGGGTTAGCACAGGCCTCAGCCAGCCACCATGGGATGGCTTCACCCTTGTGTCTTCCTGCCTCCTACCGCTTTATCCTTCATTTGCCCACCAGGCCCTCTTTCTCGCTCCTCCTTCCTGTCAATAAGCACTTATGGACCATCTCCTGAGCACCTGGGGGTCCATTCCAGCCCAGTGCAGGGGCAATTCTGGGCTTCTCCAGCTAAGAACCAGCTGGGGACGTGGGAAATGCATTCCACATCTGACAGAGACACACACACGCTGCGGGACCCCGAGGCGCTTTGCAGAGAAGGCTCCCATTCGGAGCCGGAGAGGCCCCACCTTGCATGCAGGCAGATCCCCCTCTCTGCAGCAGAGGCAGGAAGGCCTCCTGGGCAAAAAGAGCCTTTCTCCCAGGGACACAGGAAAAGGCCTGCTTTGTACAAGGGAAGGTGCCAAAGCCAGAATGTGCATGTGTGTGAGACTACCTAGAAATAAACATCAGGCCAGCCAAGGCCAATCAGAGAGAACATCTACTCTGTGCAGCTCTCGCTACGTTTTGACAGGCAGAGAATCGGGACACTGCAAAGGAAAGGGCACCGAGGGGGAGGAGGTGCTGCCTTAGACAAGACACTACTCCCCTTGGAGCCTCAGTTTTCTCATCTGCAAAATGGGAATAATAACAAATCGTTATCTTGCAGTGCTCTGAGGATCCCGTGAGACCAAGGATGTGAAAGGCCCAGGGAGTCCTTGCCTTTCTCCGACTTTCAGATTGTTGTAAACTGCAGTCAGAATTCTAACAGATGTTTGAGTAAGCTGAGTAATATTATGCTTTGCCCTAAAAACAAGTGACATTGTATTCCTCATCTCCTTCTAAAAAGCGTGTCAGAAGCTTACAGTAAAAGGCAATAAAACCTCTCACAAGGGTAGGAAAGAAGAACTGAGCAATGAAGTGGGTATCTGGTGGGGCGGGTGCAGTGGGCGTCACACGCGGTCCAGGCAAAGGAAGCTCTGGCAGCGGGACACGAAACAGCCTTCGCTTCTGGAGGTCGAGGCAGGAAGAGGGACTCGGGAGCGCTCCCTGCCGGCGAGCTGCGAGGAGCTCATGCGGAGGCCTCTGCGTGAGAAGCGTGAGGAGCTCGGCACAGAAACGCCCCGCCGAGCAGGACGCAGCAGCCTGTGCCCGGCGCCAGCGAGCAGGATGGAGAGAACCTGCCTCCTTCCCTTGGGCCCGACAGGCCTGGGGTCCTCCTGGCGGTGGGTCCTTCTGGCCTCACCACTGCGCCCTCCCTCTGAAGTCACACAGGCCCTAGATACTCATTCATTCGTTCATTCATTCGTTCGCTGTGCCATGCATTTACACGCCAGGGGCCCGTTCTGTGCTGGGTGTGGGGTGATGCCCCTCAGCTGAAAGGGTTAGAGAAGGTTTCTTGGTGACCATACTTGAGCTGGACTTGAAGGACAAAGAGTAATGGACTTGGGTCAAAGTCCAGGAGGGAACTTTGTGGGCAGGGGAGAACACAGAGTGAAGGCTCAGAGGGTGCAGGGCCCTGGACACTCGCAGCGAGGCTGGAGGGGAGCGACATGGTGGGTGGCGAGGGCTGCAGGAGGCTGTGACACGAGGACACGGGGGCCTGGGTCCGAGCTGTACTGAGGAGGAGGCTGACGCTGGGTGTCTGCACCGGGAAGCAGGTGACTCGATCCTTTTTCCCTACGACTCGGAGGCTGCAGGAGAGCAAGCTGGGGGCTGCCGGCCTCAGTGGGAAGATGTCCACCCTCCCGGAGGAGAGGACCTGGCTGGAGGTGGGGGGGCATTGTCAGCGTCATGGGGGAGCTGGGGCCACAGGCATGGGAGGTTGTGGGGAGAGAGGAGAGAAGAGGGCCAAGGAGATTCGTTCTACAGGCAGTGGGGGCCGAGGAGACAAGCACCGAAGCCGGGGCTGGGGTGAGGGAGGGGACGCAGGCCCGAGCCGAGCCACGTGTGCCTGGGCGGGGCAGTGGCCCCCAGTGAGGGTCGGGAGAGATAGAGACAGGAAAGTGTCCACCGGTGTTGCCATCAGGGCTCAGGGGTGACTTTGGCCAAGACGATGTCAGAGGGGCTGTGGACGCGTGCAAGGCGAGTGGAAGGGACGGGGTCAGTGCCTCTCAGGGAAGAGTCACCGGTGTTGGGGGACAGGGGCAGATCACGGGCTGGCAGTGAGTTCGTTCTGGGTGGAGCGAAGACGGCAGGAAGGACGGGTGGCGAGGACGGGTGCGCCTGGAGGTCGTGTGGGAAGAAGGGAGCAGTCTCCTCCCGGTGGCTCTGCCGAGGGCAGGACAGGCCAGGTCTGGGGCGTGAAGACACACAGGAGCACTGTCGTGTCATGCTGGGGGGCCCGAGGGAGAGGCGCGGCGGGCCGAGTCATCTCCTCCTGCCCCAGAGAGGGGGGCCGTTTCAGAGGGGCAGACCAGGGCCTGAAGTGCCCGAGGCTGACAGTGAGATTCAGGGTGCCTGAGCGCGGAAGGGGCAGCCCTGGGGCTGCAGATGCCAAGAAGCCAAGAAGAGGCGTCCTGGGCACTGTGGCCTCTGGAAGAAGTGGCTGGAATTGGAAGGGAGAGGAGGCCGGCCCGGGACCAAGGGCTGTGACTGAGGGTGGGGAGGAGGTGTCCCGACCAGGCCCCAGCGAGTTCCAAGCCTGGGCCAGGAACTGGGAAAACCGGGACTCACCAGGGTCGCCTCTTCTCCCAGGCTTGCCACGCCGTCCGGGGGGCCCTAAACAGGAAAACAAGGATGGATTCGTTGAGAAGGGAAGTCAGTGGGCCTGGGCGGAGCCCGTGGTTGCGGCTGCCCCTGCACAGGGGCTTACCCAGCCCAGCCACCCACCGCGCCGCAACCGCTTTGTGGGAGCAGCCTGCCCGGGGCTGGTCCGGGGGAGACGAGTGGGAGAAACCCCTTCCCTCTGTGCCCCTCCCTCCTGTCCCTCCAAGCTCCCGCCACCCCACACGGTGGCTGCATTGCTCACCCTCACACACCGCTCGTCATCTGTGCGCGTCTTCGCCCTTGAGCCCTCCCCCACCCAAGCACATTCACTGCGGGAGACTCTGGAGCCGGAAGGGGTCGTCGCCGAGGAACTTCAGACTTAGGAGAAGAGTAAGGGTGGGAGTTACCTTACAAAAGCCCCGACAAACGCTTTTTCACACTCACTAAACTGAAAGGACAAAGCCGAATCAATGAAGACGCTGTCCTGGCATCTCACGTGCTACGGTTCTGTCACGACGGCACCATGTGATCCACCTGCCATTCTGGAACCTTCAGCACCTCCTTCCCCACTGCTAGGAGCTGCTCAGACGCTTGCAGGTCACTGCACGCCACCACCCTCTTCTGTACCCATCCTCCAGCCGCACGTCGTAAGCTTGTCTGGATTTTTTTTTTTTTTTTGAGACAGAGTCTCACCGTGTTGCCCGGGCTAGAGTGCCGTGGCGTCAGCCTAGCTCACAGCAACCTCACACTCCTGGGCTCAAGCGATCCTCCTGCCTCAGCCTCCCCAGTAGCTGGTACTACAGGCATGTGCCACCATGCCCGGCTAATTTTTTCTGTGTATTTTTAGTTGTCCAATTAATCTCTTTCTATTTTTAGTAGAGACGGGGTCTCGTTCTTGCTCAGGCTGGTCTCGAACTCCTGAGCTCAAACAATCCGCCCGCCTCGGCCTCCCAGAGAGCTAGGATTACAGGCGTGAGCCACTGCGCCCGGCCTAGTCTGTCTGGATTTTTGATGCAGACCATCCCGCCTCCACCTCTAGCCCTCCGCCTACGTCATTCCCTGAGACCCGAGTGGCTGCGACACTGAGGAAGAAGAGGGCTCTCGGTCAGAGGTCCAAGCCTTCATCGCACCAGGGAAGGAGGCCACAGAGGCCGTGACCATATTAGAAGGCACTGCCCTTTCCTGCAAAAGTCAACCTCAAAACCCCTCAAGAATTCCCAGAGCAGCCAGGAGGAGGAGACTGGCCCGGAATCAAGTCTGAGGCAGGACGGCTCATGGGGAGCTTCGAGTGCGTGCGTGTGTGTGTGCGTGTGCGTGTGTGTGTGTGCGTGTGTGTTTGTGTTTCCCTTCTTCCTCCTCCCACGTGCAGGCGGGTGGTCAGGCCCATCTCCATACCCCTGCCCAGTGCTTGAGACCAGGGGGAAAAGCAGCCCAGGGTCGGAGAAGCTTCCCGACTTTGTTAAGGGGGTTCCCTGCATAGGGAGGGGCCCCTCAATGCTGTGTCAGAAACTGAAACCCTTGCAGGCCTGGGGGTGAGGTGAGAATGAATTTCTTGCCAGCCTTGTGGACTGGGGGCTTGAGGTCAGGGTGGTTACATAAAATCTAAAAATTAAAAACATGCTACTTCTCACACCCCCGAGTTCCGAGAGCAAAAATCCGTGCCAGCGACATGGCCCTTCATTCTCCCCCGTCCTGGATGCAGACTGTGAGGCCGGGGCTTGGGCTGGAATCGCCCAGGGGCTGCGCTGACGTGGCGAGGCCAAGGCTCCCGCACCCCGCAGCGGCCGGCAGCTCTCCAGACCCGCGTGGCGCTTAGAGCTCACGAAGCGCCTCCAGGCCCTGCGCTCGGCCAAGGTCTGTGACGCTCGCTCGCGGCCAACTGCTTCTCTGACATCTCAGGCCCCTCGTGGCCGAAATACCCGCCTTGATCTCCTCCCAGCACCCTGTGTGGGGCTGATGGTGCCTCAGAACCTCCTGAGCTGGTCACACGGGTTAACCGAGCTCTAGTCATTAGCTAGTCCCCCATGTCTGGGGGGCTGGTCAGCAGCCTCAGTGGCCTTTTCTCCTCTCTGGGCACGTCTGTTTGCAGGGTCAGCGAGGGCGTGGGTGCGGGACGCCATCAGCACACACGGCACCGTGCTCCTCCGGCCGTGGGAGGGAAGCTCTGGGGCTCCTGCAGGGCCACAGAAGGCCCATGGCGGGCTCAGCACAGCCGCCTGCTGGGGCCTCAGGCTGAGGGTGGGACATGCGGGGAAGGGGCGCGAGTGGGAGAACGAGGCAGGCTCTGCTGGACCCGCAGCTAAGCCAGCACCGTGGGTTTCCGATGATCATTACTGGGTACGACTAAAACTCTCAGTCTGCGCAACTCCAGCCAGATGAAGCTTCTGCCTTCGCCAAGGTGGCTGAACTAATGGATTTGTCCGGGTGGCTCTCCTGGGTGGCGCAGTCAGGCCGAGGGCCTGATGGGGCGGGCACTAGCAGGGCAGCAGCTGCCCAGCTGGGTGGGGCGCCTCACCTCCCAGGGCCTTTGCAGAAAGCTCCCGCAGGCCTGGCGGGCTGGTTGTGAAGGCCACCTGAACGGGCTTGTGCGAAGACAGGGAACGCAACTGCCCAGCACTGATCCAAACCAGGCGCGGTGCTGGGGACCCTTGCTGGGTCTACCCTTGATTCTGAGCTTTGTTCTCCAACGTTCAGCTGCGCTGGGAGGCAGCACTGCCACACCAAGGTCATCTCCGGTTTCCCACATGTCCCGAACCTCCGGCAAGGTGCCCTGGTCGCCTACGTGCAGTTACCACCAGTATCCAGGTAGCCAAGGCAGACACTGCCTGGGAGTCGCCCTGTCTGGTCCTCCTGCGCCCCCCAGCCTAGGCCCCGCCTTCCTCGGCATCAGGCAAACGCCCCCCAACCCCCTCTCTCCCTCTACCACCCGCCCTTTCTCCCACGCTCCATTCTTCCCCCTGGCAGGGGGCAGCCCGCTGGAGTGTGCAGCCTGTGTCTCATGCTGCTGCGTCCCCAGCTCCCAGCACAAGGCAGGCCCAGGTGACATGTGTCGAGGGAAGAAAGGAGGGATGGGTGGGCAAGGAGGCCTCGGGTCTCCTCACCATTTCCTGGCATTCTCTGAAAAAACCGTCAAGTCCAACAAGATTCGGGGCTTAGAAGAGACGTGGGGCCACCTGGTTTGATGCGCACAGGCCGAGGAGACGGGGCGTGCCTTCTGCCTGCTCTCCCCACTGCAGGAAGACAGGTGGTGAGGCGCTGCGGGGGGACGTGCCGGAGCCGCTCTGTGCTGACTGCTGGGCTCCCACGCTGCTGCCTTTGCAAACAGAGAAGCCAAGCACACGAGGACTGGACTGTGGGAGCTGCAGGGGGGAGGGCAGGAAGGACGGCCCTTCATGCGTTTCTAGACCGCCAGGTGCTGAGAGCCCGCTGGGGGCCGCAACCTGGCCTGAGCAGCAGCTAACTCATCCAGGGAACATCGGCTTGGGTCCTTTTGGCTTCAGGCCTCCCGCTGCTCATCCCACAGGCTCATCTGCTCCCTGGCCGTCCTGTGAAGAAGGCGCTAGTGTCTGCCGCACAGACCAGAGCTCTGAGGCTGAGCCGGGTGAAGAGGCCTGCCTGAGGCCATGTTGCTGGTGCCTTTGGGGGCCCTCCACAATCAGTGTGTGTCTCCTGACGCTTGAGGACAGCTGTGCCCCGCACGCGGGACCGCAGGCAGGCAGCCTTGGCCACTGGGAAGGTCATCCCCCTGGGGCTGCAGACCCTCTGCCAGGCTGGCTCTGCCCCAGGGCACTGGCGCCAGGCCTGGAGCACACTGCCCTGGCGTCCTGGGGAGAGTGGGGCCAGCCTGGCCACAGCTCAGACCTGGCTACAGACAAGTAAACCCCTGGCCCGGTGGATTGCCCCAGTTTTCTCCTTGTTGGTTTTGTTCTTTTATTTCCTTTCTACATGTACAACTTCTCCTGCTGCTGCCACAGGATCAGACACTCAGGAAGGCACCTGGGAGTCTGTCTTGATCAACCTGTTCATGCACAGATGGGGAAACTGAGGCTGCGAGGGTTGGGAAGGTTTTGCCCAAGGATGCTGCTGGAAAAACTATGTCAGCCGGGAAGTCTGGTGATGAAGGGCCAGCTTGGGCTGGGAGAGGCCATTGTCCCCAACTCTGTGTGGGAGCCACATAGCTCTGGATCAGCGGTTGGCCATTGTGGGGACACTTGTATTTCACAGTGGGTGTCGCCTTAGTGGCATCTGCAAAGCTTCCTTCCAGAGGCTGCAGGCAACAAGAAGGTATCAGAGCAAGAGGCAAAAAGACCTGATAGGGAAGCTGTTTACTCTGAGCAAGTTACTCAACCTGTCTGAACCATAGGTTCCCTACCCATAAAGCTTTGAGGGTATTGGCAACTACACCTTCCTTGTAGAACTGTTAAACAGATGAGCAGACAGCAGCTTGGAGCATAAAAGGGTGCCTATTTGGGAGCCCAAGAAATCACTGGCTGGAGGGGCCCCCAGGCCATTAGAATCAGGGGCCTTGAAGTAAGTTCAGTAACTTTGTGGGCAGGGCTTGATGCTGACCGGGCCTTCAGCTACGCCCTGATGCTGAGCAGACAAGCGCAAGGTCAGCCCCCTGGAAAGCCTGTGGCTTCTTCCTGTCGTAATCACTGCCTGTCTGCAGACCTCAGGATCAGACTGCGGAGGCTGAGCAGCCTAGGAATGGGACTTCTCAACGAAAGCCCGAGGTTGCAGGCACAGCACCGGCCAGCAAGGGCTCCAGCTTGTTGCGAAATGACCCTGGATGCCTGTGACCGCCAGCCGCACACTAAACCACTCCAGGGAGGTTTACAGCTTTCTTACACTGTGTTCCAGGCCAGACAAAATGGGACAACTTCTAACTTATAAAAATCTCATCTCTGGTCGGGGTGGAGAACTCATGCCATTGACCAACTCCAAAGGGGGGCCCAGAACCCCGACAGGTTTCCTCTGAGTTCTGAGCAGTGAGGAGTTGGCTCTGGAAGCAG